GTCACTCTAGAGCAACTTGCTACCATCTCTTGCCTAGACAAATCAGAGTCATTTTTACTGATACTGGGTTCTAAAGCCAGCACATAAGGTGAAAATTCTCAAAATGTGTGTGCCAACCCTTGAGCACATCCCACCAGTGAGATACTCAGACTCTGAGACAACAAACTGTATAGAAAAGGCTCCTCCTCACTCTGGGGTATCCCCTCTCTCATCATTGAGTAGATTCTCCCAGGCTGTTTTAAGTATTGTTTCTTGTTTTTCTCTTTGTCTAGCAGATATAATTGAATTTTCAGGAGTCAAGTGTTCTTATAATGCATCTCCAAAATGCTACAAACACATCACCTGAAGTTTTATCTCTCCTTAATCCATTCTCAATTGTGCAGGGACAGTGATCTTTGGAAAATGCAAGTCTTTAGAATGATTCACTGTTTGAAACACGGCATACCATGGAATCAGTTCTTTGAAAAATTTCTTTGAAAAATTCACTCTGCCCTGGTTCCAATTTTTTACTGGGCAGTTACAGAAGTATGTTTACTTTGGGATAATTCACAGGGCTTACAATTTCTGCACTTTACTATTTATGTGTTCCACTTCAACTTAAAAATTAAAAGAATATAAAAATAAAATAATGCAATACTATCATGGCTTTTCCTTATTATTGGGATAAATTCAAAATTCTTAGCCCCTTCCCACTTCTCCAGATTCATTCCCACATCATATTCTATCTCAATGTCTCTGAATCTGATCTTTTAATCATACTGATTTTTTAATTCCTTGAATCTACCACATACTTTATGTCTATTAATCTTGGCATGTGCTAGTTCCTTTCCTGGAACCCTCTTGCATCCTTACCTTTCCCCCTGTTTGTATCTCAATTCAGATATTATTTTCTCAGGGAGGTCATTCTTAGTATTCTAAATTGGGTGACCTCTATTGTTACGTGCTCTCATAGCCCCTGTATTTCATTCAATACCCTCAAAGCCCTTTAAATACTTGTTTAATATCTGCTTTTTCTGCTAGAATGCTAACTTCACAAGGGCAAGGATCATGATCTCAATACCTGACATATTGCTTTTTAATTCTCCATTTAAATTCAGTTTCTGTAGTCACAACATCAACACATGCATTATAAAGTACAAACAGTGGACAGAAGAGAACATAAAAATAGAATTATATAGAGATGCCAAAGGATACTCTAACCTTAAGAAGAAAAGACTGAATGCTAAATAACTCATTGTCATTGCTGCTTTTATAACATTGAGAAGAAAATAGAGATTATGTATGAAAGGGATAAAGTTTTCCATTCTAGAATTTGTGACTGATATGTAGGCTTCACAACCTCAGTCCCCAAATCTCTTTTCGTGTCCTTCTTAACATTCCATTTTTTGTACAGCAAACTCTCCTGCTTAAAACCTTCCTATGACTTCCCTTTACAACCAGGATGAAATCCAAGTTCTCAACAGCTTCCCTGTGATCTGTTCCCTGATTTCCTCTGACCTCTTCTGACCGCTTCCCCTCCAGACTTCCCTTCATTCATGATGCTCTGGGCTCCAGCCACATTGGTCTTCTTTCTGTCCCTATAAAAGTTAAAGCCTTTGCTATAGCTTCTCCCAGATCGACAAGTGTTGCCATTCTCTCATCATTTATGCCTTATTTCAAGTATCCTCAGAAGGGTCTTTCTTGGCTTCCTCATAGAAGCACCCATTTCTATCCAATAACACTCCACCATTTTGGAGTTTTTCTTCTTCAGAAACTTAGCAACACCTGAAATATAATAACTTGTTTATTCGTTTATAAGATTAATGTCTTTGTGTCTACATAAGGCAGAAAGTTGTCTACTGTTTATTAAAAATATCCTCAGTGACTAGAGTCATTCTGGATATGCAGGTGCAGGCTAATCAAGCCTTGGAAGTCCTAAAGACTTCAAAGAATATTCCAAAATGTCAAAGCAAATGTGTGGTTTTCTAAATGTATCTAGTGACCCCTACTGGAATACTTACCAGGGGAACCAAATACAAGTCTTCATTTCTTCCAAATTGCCCTCTCACCTCTTTTCGTTGAATGATAAAATGTTAGTGTGAGCATGAAATTCAGGATAAGGGACTTCTGAGAGTCCTTCTCCCACCTTAGAGAAACCCCATCACCCTTTCTGCCTGGGTGACTGTTCTGCTTCCAGCTCAACAATTTGTGCTTTCATCCTTGGGTAGTGGCAGTATCGTAGCCGATGAGGTTTACCCAAGGCGCGATTATTGCTAACTGAAAACTTTATCCAATGCCCCGCCATGCTGACTTGTAATGTAGCTGGCATTGGCAATTTTTGAAAGTCCCTATGGGGACTGAGTAAAAAAAAAAAAGAAAAACAATCTGTGCTTTCAGCACAGACCTTAGAGGAGAGTGTTGGAGGTTATGGGAGGCAGAGAACTTTCCCTGATTCCCCTCCAAATCTGATTGCATACATGGCTGCCTATCTCCGTATATATGTCTGAAAGAAGGGAATTCATCCAGATAACATGGATGGATGAAGATACATCCCATGGACATATTTCATATGGTTCCATTTATTTTACCTCTCTTGAATCAAGGAGCAATTTTGAAAGTGGTATTTGCCACCAAAAAGCAAAGAACTGACAAAAAGTAACTTCATGTTGAGAATAACAGGATCAAAAAAGTAAGTCAATGATGAGGGTCATTAGAAGACACTGTGTTGCCTAGACTGTAACAAAACTTGCCACAAAACATTAGATAGGAACCAAAGACCAGGAATTCCAAAAAATCAGAACAATAAGAGTCAGAATGTGTGAAACAACCAAGAGGTGATATGATTAAACTTTAGAAAACTGTTTTATTTATCCTATGTATGATGTATATGTATGCATACATGTTTACTGCAGAAAATTTGTAGAACACAAGTAAACAAAAAATATCACATAAATATTAATATTAATGATAATTATTACCTCTTAAAGGAAACCATCATAGTAGTTTTACGATGTAGCCTCTTGGTCTTTTGTTTATGTCTATTCCAGTGTTCCATTTATATATACTTCATCAATAGAAGTCCATATGTACCTTTTTACAAAATTGAGTCACGCTATTTATTTTACTTTACATCCTACTTATTTACATTTAGTATGCTATGAAAGATTTTCATTTATCTAAGGTCATTTTACTTGAAAGTATTTTAGGTAATTAACATTTGAGCAGGTAATATATGCATATGGTACAATATTCAAAAAATTAAAGAAAAGTCAGCCTCCTTTTTACCCCTTTTCTCTCCAGGGTAACCACTGCCATTGGAGAGGCATTAACTAGACCACCATATGTGTTATAAATAAGGCTGCAAGCACTAAAATGGTTGGCACAGTACCCGGCACTACATTAAATCCTTTGTATAGATTATCTCATCCCATTTTAATAAGAAAACCAAAACTTAGTTAGAAATTAGCTCAAGGTTACTTAGCTGATAAGTGGCCAACTGGACTTGACCCCATGGGTGCCTAATTCACAACCAAGCACTTGATGTCTGGCATCTGTGACGGCCTGTGCAACACTGGGTAAACCAATTTCAAGGTTGCTGAGACGGAACACTGCAAACTGGAAGCTCTATCATCACCCTCTCATCCCATTCTCATACCAGTCAACATGTCCTTCTGTTTGGTTTTATTGGAATTTGTATTTGCAGGACTCTCAAAGGTTATATCAACACAAGCAAATTATTTTATAAAGGAGATAGTCATTTTGAAAATTTGGCTCATATCCTTACTATGTTAGTACTTGATTTTCTTTGATTAGTAGTCTTTTTCTCACAACTCAGACAAATGGATAATGAACTAATTACTTAAACTTACTTTTACATACAAAGATAAGAATCGGATATGTCACAAAATCATGGAAGACATATTTATTTATTTTTAGAGATAACATCTTGCTATGTTGCCCAGACTGGCCTCAAACTTCTGGGCTCAAGTAATCCTCCTGCCTCAGCCTCCCAAGTAGCCAGGATTACAGGCTTTGGCCATCGTGCTTGGCTTATATATTCAATGTACTTGATCTACATAGATTTATTAATATCACATAATGAAAGCTTTTTTTGTCTACCTTGAGTCATTAAAATAGGCCTAAGTCAGTAAGACCAACTGTATAGAAAATGGTTAAAGACCTAAGAAATGTCTATAAAATAGGATTTCTTTATGACAATTCTGACTTGAATTCTAACGTGAAGGATATTTTGTGTGAGCTTCAGCTAAATCTGTAAAGTAAGATGGTTCAAAATTAAGTATGCTTGTGAATGTCTTAACACCTTTTAGGAACAAAGTAGAGTGTGTGTGTGGCACATACATACATGCATAGAAACACATGGAAAAGCAAATTTATGGCATTTATCTGCAATGAGATCCTGATGATATTTAATCAATAGAAACTAATTTCTTTTGTAATTTTCTTCCCATATTTGAACATTTTTGCATCCATTGAATTATTCTCTATCAATTTGATAATATTTGAGGTAAATGTACAAACATGACTGAAATTAATTCCTACTACCCCTTTAAAATTATGGACTGATTATCATTGATCAGTCAAAATCACATTCCTTATATGCTATACTCAAAGACATACTGAGACTTATGTTTTTTCAGAGGGAAAATTTTAATAAAAGTGATTAAGAAAAGGGGGATAAAGATCTATGCCTATCATCACAATTCAATTTGTAGGTAAAATAACTAGAAATTTTTTTTAAAAAGCTCTAGAAATAAGAAGGAAAAGAAAGAATAATACTTAGGAAATTGAAATAGATTGAAAGCATAGAAATGTGTCCAAATCAATTCTACGTATAATCTAAAGAGGTCTGCAAACTTTATCAGGGGAATTGCTAATATTGGATTACTTTGGAAATGATGCAATAACCATTGGTGACTATGCGTCTGGGAGTTTGGTCAAAAGGACAAGGGCTAAAAGGCTGAACTTGTGTCATGCTCAGCTTATTCCAGAAGGTGCCTGCCTACACCCTGAGCCACGGATTCACTGTTGACTGCTCTGGTTGTTTGGGTAGATATTGATTGGATAGATATTGTCCTCACCAGACCTTCCCAGAAAGACTGGAAGGAGGACCTGAGAATTCCTCCTTCAACCAGGAATTCTCTGGGAAGCACATAAGATTTCACTCTGCTAGTTTCACTCTCCTACGAGAAGTTACCAAAGCCTGATAAATTTTGCAACTCTAAGTGTACCTCTCTTGGGATTACAACTAATTATAACAGGGATCCAAAGAAGTCTCAGAGGACAGGAAAAAGAATGCTCCGTGGCCGATCCTTGTCTGTGACATCCCTGAGTGGGCTTCCCCAGTGGGAAGTTGAAGAACTTCCCGTGGAGAATTTACTGCTCTTTGAAGTTGCTTGGGAAGTGACCAATAAAGGTGTGTACTGCTCCTGAAGGGAGATATTTGCCAGATTACTGAAGAATATAGATTAAGATTTCACAGATGACTTTCTAGTGATTATGAATTACCAGTCAGTGAGGAAAGCATTTAAGTGAAATATAAATTCAGGCTGCATTCAACCTTGTCAATTTCAACAGGCAGTGAAAACAGAATTGTGTATGTGTTGAAGAGGGAGACAGTTGCAAATATTAATCATTGTCAGGGAATGTACAATTAAATTAAGATTTCAAATCCATGTTATAACAGATAGAAATAAAAAGTTGACATTTATGTTTTTTATTTTATGATTTTTCTCAGCAAAAAAGCATAATTAAATGCTTTAATTTAGGAAGAACTATCTGTGATCAGAAACAATTAGAAACATTAACTCTATATACTGTTAGTGATTATATAAAGTATTTAATAATGTTTTCTAATAATTTAAGATTAGGTTGAAGTTAAAGTTTTAATTTAGAAGCTGTTCAGAAGGCTCAATATTGCACTCCTATTCAGAAGAATGAAAGTAATTTTTTCTTCAATGCTATGCATATATAGAAATTATAAAATAAGAAATCAAATTGATAAAAATTAAATGAACTTCCTAATAAGGTATAACCTCATTTGTGCTAGGTGGGAGAATGCAAGGTAGAGAATTGCAATCTAATTTCATTAATAATAGAATCATCTGTAAAATTATAGAAACAATTCCTTGTGGGTTGATATTCTCTAGTTTAAAAATGTCAAGACTATTGAGGGAACATTAGCAAAGAAAAGTAACGGTTTCGAAGGCTGAGTTTGTCAAGATTGTGAAGGATCAGGCCACATTATGCTAGCTAAATGGCAGTGATGACCTGGGTAATTTAAAAGATCTGAACTGATAACACGTGATGTGATATATTGCATGTTTATGTCTAAATTTATGTTTATTATTACATGTTTATTACAGTAATTTAAAGGCTCTGAAATGATATTAATAACATGAATATGATACATTACTTTTGGCTGATAAGGGCCAGCATAATCTCAAAATTAGAGGATTACGTGTAGCATCTGTTCTAGTTTTCACCTTCTTCTAGTTGTTCAAAGCTCTCATGTGTATGCATTCGTAAAATTCAAAAAATCAAAATTAAAAATCAATCCTGCCTATGTAGAAGTGGACAGAATGCACGTAAGAGAACAAAGCATAGTCTTCCTCTGGAATTTAGTGAGGAGGAGGCACAGAGGACAGAAACCGCCTTATAGAGAAACTGAAATGTTTTATAGGCACCTGTTTCTAATGTCCTTTATCTAGTCACAAATTTTTCCAGTCCAGTTTTTAAATATGGTCAAAGTTCCTGGGAACGGAGCCATCTCTACTACACGTGAATCCCAGAGTGTATCTTGCAATAAAGGTTTTCTGCACAGAGCAGGCAGGAACTCAAGGACATAGCTTGTTGGCGGAAAAAATTGGAGGTAACTCTTCATCCCCAGGAATCAGTCCAGAAGACCTTCGCACAAGTTGCCGCACCTGAGCAGAGGCCCTTCTTCCTTCTTTTCTCTCTATTTAACAAACACTGATGGAGCATTTTCTCCTGGGTGCTGGGAACGTGCTCATGAAACTAAGTTATCCCATGGATCTTATATCCCAGTGACATATGTGCCAATCTCAGGGCCTAGAACAGTGCCCGGCACATAGAAAATGTTTAATGGATTTTTTTTAATGAAGAACGAATACATTTATTTTTCACCCCCTACGCTGCCTTTGGTACTTATTTTCTATCGTTTCCCCTTCAAGGGGAAAGGATTTTTTTTTTTTTTGGTGGAGAGGGACCCACAATGTGATTTACCAAAGTTGACGTCATCTTCAACATATCTTTATTTTAATTTTTATCACAGTCTGATTTTGTTAGAGATTTTTATATAAATGAACAATTATTGTGTTTACCCCCAACAATTCATTGCTGTTATAGTTTCTTCAAATTTAATTACCTTGACCTTTTACTTCCCTGCAGTTCATAGCAGTGATATGAGGCATCTTGAATTCAACTCCTCTATTTCATAGAGGAAATGGATACATAGGGGCATCACCTGATCAAGCAAATGGCAGAGTTAGGATCAGGATTTAGGTCTCCAAGGCCAATTCTCTTTTTTACTACCACATACGAATTAAATATTAAAACCTACGTTGTCTAAGGAAATGTCCTGTAGATGAAAGAACACAGAACTTGTAGTCA